TTTTTTAAGGTTTTTTTATGAGCAACTTTCAAAATTGTAATATTAAATTTGATAGTTTCTAATTTATAGTCAATTTTATCTTACTTTGGAACTATATAGAATTTATATCTCTAAGTCAAAATGACTTGAGTGAGCTGAATAGACAGAATATTTTTATTGGAAAATTTTTGAAATAGATAATACCTGTTTTCACAGTCCTCTTCTACATAAAGAAAGATTTCTAAGACCTTATCTTCAGTGTACCCAAACACAAAAGTGAAATAATATTCCCAATAGTTTGGGAAAAGAAAGAAAGCTACTCTCAATTTGAGGCAAGTTTCCCTATTAAAAATGAGAGAAACAGATTCTTAATGCTTCATCAAATTTCAATTTTCCTGATCATTTTTAAAAAATAAATTTTTATCCCATGATTTCTTGCAGTATTCTGTTTTAGAATATTTTGGTCTGATATAGTAGGATTGTATCCCAAATTGATGGTGGCTTTGTATTTGGTTATTAAAGAAGGGAAATATGTTGCCTTAAAATGTAATATATCAACTTTGGATTGAGCTGTACTATATAGCTTCCATATGAGTATCTGAGCATTTCATTGGCAAATATATTTTTTCCCCATCTGGTAAAAGGATCTAGATATTCCATGTATATTTATGTCTGGGGAAAAAATCCAAGAACTTTTTAGCAAAAATATAGCCTGCTAGGTGCAGAGATATAGATTAAATTGCCTACCTGTGGTCGGCAAACTGTGGCTAGTGAGCCACATGCGGCTCTTTGACCCCGTGAGTGTGGCTCTTCCTAAGCCTTAGGAGTACCCTAATTATGTTAATAACAATGTACCTACCTATATAGTTTAAGTTTAAAAAATTTGGCTCTCAAAAGAAATTTCAATCGTTGTACTGTTGATATTTGGCTCTGTTGACTAATGGGTTTGCTGACCACTGGAGCCCAATCATAGTAATTCAACTCTTTTTCTCTCCAGGAAAAAATATTCCATTTATTTATGAATACTTATACATTTTGGGTTTTATTACATAAATTATATTTCAAATATTGTTTTATAATCATTTAATGTTAGAAAACAAACTGGGGACTTGTTGGGCAATTTCAAGAAGTTGGCAAGACACAAAGAAACACACACACACACACACACATACACACACATACACAATTCATGATCTCCAGTCCTAATATGAAAATTCAGAGAAGTTAGTTTTTTTTGGAAACACAACCTACAGTATGAAGGAATGCTGCTAAAGATACTAACAATACCCTGTAATTTTGAAGGGTTCTTAGACACAGTAAGAGCATTTTAGCATCTTGGTTCTGTGTGCACGACAGTGGTGGTTTTCACGTAGTCAAGCATAGACCTACCCTGTATATTAGACAGTCTTTTCCTTTGTTGCAAAGACAGCTGTTTGCCCTTGGCACCTTGCCCATAATCACTGCAGGCTGGGGCTTTCCAGCCCCCGGGCATCCTGTTCTTTTTTTTTTTAATATATTTTTTTATTGATTAAGATATTACATATGTATCCTTATCCCCATGTTACCCCCTATCCGCCCCCATGCCCTCACCCCCTTGTTGTCTGTGTCCATTGGTTAAGCCTATATGCTTGCATATAAGTCCTTTGGTTGATATTTCCCCCTTACCCCCACCCTCCCCTACCTTCCCTCCAAGGCCCGACAGTCCAATCAATGCCTCTCCGTCTCTGGATCAGTCCTTGTTCGTCAGTTTATGTTGTTCATTAAATTCCACAAATGAGTGAGATCATGTGATATTTATCTTTCTCCGACTGGCATGTTTCACTTAGCATAATGCCCTTCATGTCCATCCATGCTGTTGGGAATGGTAAGAGTTCTTTCTCTTTTACAGCATCTCTTAGATGATTAATGACTTTGAGCATG